CCCAGGCCCCTTCATCTGCCTAAGCAGGCGCTTTAATCCGCTGAGCTGTCTGGCCAGCCCTGAAAGTGAATTTTGAACAACAACAACAACAACAAAATCCCAGCAGATTTTGGGGTGTGTGTGTGTGTGTGTGTGTGTGTGTGTGTGTTAAAGGGACTTGAACTCAGGGTTGCTCTACCACTGAACTCTTTATCCTCAGACCTTTGGGCAGTATCTAAATTGCCCAGGCAGGAACCAAGCTTGTTAATTCCCTCCTCAGCCTTCCTTTGTGCTAGAATTACAGAGCGCGCCACTGCAGCTGGCTGAAATGCATGCAAGTAACCTAATGTAACCCTGTTTATTATAATAGGTGATATTGCTTATGATAATTTTTGAAGTCGGTTTGTTCATTGTCTCAAAGGATGTATCTGGCATGCACTATTCATTTTCTTATAGGTGAATGGAACTCTGGTGACTCATTCAAACCATTTGGAGGTGGTGAAGTTAATCAAATGTAAGTGAATGTTTTTCTCTATTTGAATGTTTTCTGATGTCCTTAAAATAAGGATCAGTAAATGTTTTCTACAGTAGGTCACATAGCAAACATTTCGGACTTTGTAGGCCATGTGGTGTACTTCTGGACTCTTCTTATTGTAGCACAAAAGCAGCTGTGGAGAAGCAGACTAACCTGTTGTCTCTTCAGGGTCAGAGGTGGCGGGTGCTGCACCAAAATGGCAGTGAGGCATGATCCCGCAGGGCCTCAGTTTTCCTTCCTCCTTAGGCAGATGGGAGTGTTCAGTTGTCCTGTGAGCTTTGCTGAAAAGTGGGGATGCTTAAATTTTTTTTTTTGTCTTCTTTTTTCATTTTTTTCTTTTCTCAATTTCTTGTAACTTTTTTTCTCTTTTTCCAGTTTTGCACGCATATATCTGGTAATCTGAACAACTAAGTCGAAGGCAACACTATGCAATACACCAAATACTATTGAATTCATATTTTCTTTAGTGAAATTTTGTATCATTTTAAAAAAGTTTTTCCTTTATTAGTATTACTATTTTGTATCCTCTTTAAAAAGAAAACTTTAGGGCTGGCCAAATAGCTCAGCAGATTAAAGCACCTGCAAGCAGGTGCTGGGGCTGGGGGTTCATCCCCAGGCCTGCGCTGCCGGCTCCACCCCCCTCCCTGGGCGCACTGAGATGATGATTGAGACTGGGCATGGTGGTGCACACCTGTAATCCCAGCTCTTGGGAGGATGTAAACAGGCGGATCACTAAGAGTCGGGTCTAGTAGTGAGAGCCTGAACACCCTTCCCTAAAATACAAAAACAAAACAAAACAAACTTTAAAAAGCTGGGGAGATAGTTCAGTGGTCTAAATGCATGCCTGGTAAGCACAAGGACCTGGATTCTATGGTCAGTACCACATGCTAGGCCCTGCTCTGTGCCAGCCCCTGAAACTGGGCATGGTGGTGCATGCCTGTAATCCCAGCACTGGTGAGGCTGAGATGATCTTTTTTAAAAAGTGGTGATGGATGGATATTTCAGATCTTGAAGTTAGGTAAAGTCTGAACACCAAACCGTACAGTCCTTAGGCTTCAGTTTCACTTTGTTATTGTTACCACCACCTGCTTCCCAGGAGATTGTTTCTTATTTTTTTAGGGCTGGCAAGATAGCTCAGCAGATTAAGGCCTGCTTGGGCAAGCACAGGGACCAACGTTTGATCCCCCGTTGCACCCCAGTTCTTCCCCCTCTCCCCCTACTGGGTGTGCTAAGCTGGCAACCGAGTCTGAGCATGGTGACACATGCTTGCAGTCCCACATGGTGACAGTGCTTGGGGAGGCTGAAAACAGGAGGATCACTATGAGTCTAAGCTGAGTAGTGAGACCCTGTACCCAATACATAAAAAAAAAGATATTTCAATTATTGAATGGTTAATGGTATCATCATTATAGTAGAAGTAGAAAGGTCATGCAACAGTCCTGTCCCTAAAACACAGCTATGCTTTCTTTGTTGTATCTTGATTGGAGCATCATGTATTGTTATATCTCTTATAAGAAAATAAAAGAAGGCCGGCCAAATAGCTCAGTGGGTTAAAGCACCTGCATAGGCAGAGCAGGGACCAGGGGTTCCATCCAGGCCTGCTGTGCTGGCCCCGTCTCTGGGGCACACTGAGACAGCGACTGAGACTGGACGTGGTGGCGCACGCCTCTAATCCCAGCGCTTGCGAGTCTGAACACAGGCAGATCACTATAAGTTTGATCTATGTATTGAAACCCTGTAGACCCTTACCAAAAAAAAAATTAAAAAAGTTTAAAGTAAACTAGATACAATAAAATTTATGATCTTTTGCCTCAGATTCTTTCATAATAGGCTAGAACTAAATGATAATTGTTTGTGGCCAAGCAGAGTCATTAATATTTTGCATACTTCTATTTCATTTTACTGAGTAGACAGACTTTTTTATTTCTTTTTTAAGTGTTTTGAGACAAGGTCTTGCTGTGTTGTCCTGGCTAATCTCACTATGTGGCTAGCCTGGCTTCGAACTCATGACAAGCCTACCTCAGCCTCACAAATGCTGGGATTACAGGTGTGTGCGACCACGCCCAGCTGAGTAGACAGACATCTTTAGTATGAATTTGTTACCTGAGTTCTTTCTTGACCTTTTTGCTTAGATTAACCCTGAATTCCTTTAAGTTTTCATTACAGTGTCAGTGTTCTAAATTATCACTTTGATCATAGTTATTAACTTCACATTTAAAAGAAATAAGGTGATAATGATTAGCTTCTACACCTGAATAAATCTGAGTAGCAAGGAGCTTGTGACTCACACATTTTTGCATGCTATGTGAATATGATGGTTTATATTAATAAATACTACCTGTTGAGTATTATAGTTTATAAGAAGTAAGAGTATTTCTTTAGCCTTCTAGATTATTTTTTGTTTATCCCAATATAAATTTTTCTCTACATATTGTATGTTAGTGCTGGGAATGGTGGTGCACACCTATAATCTCAGCACCCAGGAGGGTGAAGCAGGAGGATTGCTGCAAGTTCAAGGCCAGCCTGGGCCACATAATCAGTTTAAGGCCAGCCTGAATTACGTAGCAGGACCCTGTCTTATAAAACAAATGAAATTTATTACTTAATGTTTTTTTATGACATATATTACAATAATATTTGCTTTGTAAAGTTAATTGAAAATTGTGTTGTTATATTCCAGAATGTTACATAAGCCCTGCCTAGTTAGTATATCCTAAAATAAAATGACTTTAAAATTAACATTTTAGAAATTACTTCAATCATAGCTATTAGTAGGTGATTGTTAACCATCTCTCAAGTAAATATATTCTTGGTGTGATAAATTTTATTTTTTTTAAGTAATATCTAGTCCTGTGAGTAGTACTTTGCCATCTGAAAGTGTTAAATATTGTTTTTTAGATTTTTTAGACACTTACATAAAACATAATATTTTGGGGTTTCCTCCCTTGTGGAGAATTAGCAGATGATACGACTTTCTCCTGTAATAGTATTTTATAACTGCTAGATTAAATCTTAAAAGACTATAGAAAGTTCCTTGACGATGTTATCTTTCTATCCTTCACTTTTTTTACCGTCTCCCCACCCGAAGCTGGTTCCTATGTAGCTCTCACTGTTCAGGGACGCCCACCTGGGTCGCCCCAGATTCCACTTGCTGATTCAGAAGTAGAGCCATCGGCTGTTGGACATATGTCTCCCATCATGACCTCCCCTCACTCACCTGGAGCATCTGGGAATATGGAGAGAATCACTAGTCCTGTGCTCATGGGGGTAAGACTAGGAAAAGTATGTAAGTAAATGCTTGGTTATATAAGGAATGCCTTTGGTTTATATTGAGAGCTTTGAAGAATCAGGTGTGGTGGTACACACCTATAACCCCAGCACCCTGGAAGGCTGATGGAGGAAGAATGAAGGTGTAAGCCTGACCCGTGTAACTTAGCAAAATAGGGACCCTGTCTCAAAATAAGTAAAATTTATAAAGAACTGGGGATTTAGCTCAATGTGAAGACCCTAGATTGAATCCCCAGTATGCCTCCCAAAAAAGAAAAGAGTATTGGAGTATTGAACTGATAAACAAATTCAAGATTCTAGAAAATAACTGGTGCGCTGACCCTGAAACTGGGCGTGGTGGCACACGCCTGTAATCCCAGCACTAGGGAGGCTAAGATGGGAGAATCACTGTGAACCGGAGCTGTGTAGCAAGACCCTGTACCAAATCAGTCCATCAGTCAGTCAAGGGGCCCGGAGATAGCTCAGTGGCTTAAGTGCCTGCCTGGCAAGCACAAGGTCTCGAGTTTGAGACCCAGTACCCCCCCCCACACACACACAAAGAAAAAGAAAAAAAAAATCAAAAATAGTCAAATTACATAATAATTTGGAATGAGTACCCAGTATCATCATGTACATCTTCTATGTACAAAAATGCCACCCACAAAAATGTAATCAAGGTACCCTATGTTTGAGGCCTGTAGCCATCTTAGAATGCATATTTTAAGAGCACTGAGGTTTTTAAAAATTCTTAAGTGTTTTTAAGTGCTTGGTTATATAATAGGTGCTTAATCTTTTTTGATTGAGATTGAATAAAATTATATGTGTCTATAATATACTTATAATACAAAGGCAGAATATAGAAATTATGAGGGAAAAAATTTAAATTCTGTGAGAATTCAAAAGAGGAAGAAAGTATATCAAGTTGTGATGAGGAATGCCCGTGTGGAAAGGTCGTATTTGAATTGAGCCTTAGGGGTCATAACATTCAAGTGCTGTATGAGTGATAATACCTCAGTTCACGAATGCTTCAGTTTGCAAACACAAGTGTTAGCATTTTGCTTCTGTTCATCAGCTCCGTATCAGATGACAGACACCACCATGGCCATCTGTGCTACAGAAGCACAAATGCAGGCATGTTCTCCAGAAGTGTAAAGCAAAGTAAATGCATAAACTGAGGTACCACTGTAAGTGATAATGGTGCAGAGCAACATGGACAACAGAATAGAATTAAAGAGCCAAAGAGACACCACGTAATTTCCGGTACTTTTATTTGGTTGTACCTGTTATAGAGATACATAGTGGGAGATAAACTTGAAAAATAATAGATTGCTCATATATTTTTACAACTGCCTTTCCAACTTACATGTAACTGGATGAATTTAAGAATCCACTAAAAATTCTGTGGACTGAGAGAGTAACGTGATTATAACAGGAGCATAGGAAGGCTAGATGGTGAAATATTGTAGGGTTGTGAAATAAGAGATGAGTTAGTGAGTTGTTTTCATATTTCAGGTGTGAGCTTTGTGTGGCATGAATGATAAAGATTCAGAAAAGGAAGGTGTGAGGTGTTATTCTTTACTTACACAATTTTAGTTCTCCAGCAGTATCAGTATTTAACGTTGTATGGAATTGAGTTTAATAAAAGTGAAATAGAAGGGCAGAAATGTCCCTGTAACCATTTGTCTTTTTTAAGTACTATGTCTGAAAACTTGTATTCATAACTTCCAGGAATAAAGAAAATCCTAAAAGATAATGATAATTGCAACAGAGACAGAGCATTGTTTACTTTGTTTTCTATATATTAGCTTTAATTTCCCTGAATTGATTATTTTTTTACCTTTTTTCTAGGAGGAAAACAATGTAGTTCATAACCAGAAAGTAGAAATTCTCAGAAAAATGTTACAGAAAGAACAGGAACGACTACAGGTACTTTATTAGAAGTGGGGCTGTTGACAGGTCAAAAATTATGTGGATGAGCATATTTGGATTGGTATTTATCCTAATCACAATCAAGTAGAATTGTAATCAGTTCTGCCAACTAACTTTATTGATAAATAACGGATGTTTTCCATGTTTTCATGATGTGAATAATTAATTCTCAAAATACTTTTATAACTTTTTAGTTATTGCAGGAAGATTACAACCGAACACCTGCCCAGAGATTGCTAAAAGAGATCCAAGAGGCCAAGAAACACATTCCTCAGCTGCAAGAGCAGCTATCCAGAGCCACAGGCTCTCCTCAGGTAGCATTGCTTTTAAAAATGCTACGCAAAGTTTGCAGGGAAATTTTCTTCTAGGACTGTGTGAGAGAATGTGGTAGTTGTCTTTTCTTTTATTATTTTTGCGGCACCGGGGATTGAACTCAGGGCCTTGCACTTGCCAGGGAAGTGCTTATTCCACTGAGCCATCTCCCCAGCCCCCCCATTTATATTCCTAATGACTATTTTTATTAAAATTTAAAAGTAGGTTTCAGTAGAGTTTGTTATGGGGATATAAACTATGGAGATGATGCTCTGTTTATATGCAATCACATGTATCTTGTGACATTTATATTTAGAACATAGGAAGTTTTTTATACTGCATCTTTAGGGAAAATGGGCAAAATATATATTTAAAAAGAGTAAAACCTGATGAATTTGCACTATTCTAGTGCTAAATTTGAAAGAAAAGCCTCATATTCATAGAACTGAAAGGATTCTTTGAGATCATCTAGCCTCATCTGTTCTTTTTTTTTGTATTTTAGTACAGGGTCTACCGGGTCTCACTCACTACAGAGATTGAGCTCATAGTGATCCTCCTATTCTTCTTTTAAGTTAAAAATTAATGATGTGTTTAAGAAAACTAGGTCCAAAACTAGTTAGTGGTACGTTCAAAGTTATGAAGTGTGTGAGGTCTCCAGACTTCCTGATTTAGTGTGCTTGTTGTTATATATTTAAAAAAATTTTTTGTCCTTGTTATGTCACATTTAATATGCTTCCATAACATTGATAGTTTTACATTGTTATTGAACAAAGAGAATATTCTTTATCTTAACTACAGTAAAACTGTGGTTACTGATCAGAAAGCTTGAACTAATTTATGTTGTACCATTGTATCCCAGAATTGGTTACTTACTTAAATATAGGAGCATTGGAAGGCAGTTAACCAGAAGTTATATTGGAGCTGGGGAGATAATTCAGTGGCTTAAGCGCCTGCCTGGCAGGTACAAGGTCCTGAGTTCAATCCCTGGTACTAAAAAAAAAAAAGAGGAAAAAAAATATATATGAATTAATAGACCTTGGGGGATTATATTTTGAAGTTAAAACTTTTATTCTCTTTACTAAAATAAAACTTTTCCTCTTTTTATAGTTATACCATTTTAGCATCATAGAATTAGTAGTTATTTATGCTTTTTACTGTAAAAAGCATTAATTAAGCATTCTTAATCACTCCATAGCATCAAACCTGTAGCAGTACCCAGATCAACCAGAGTTTTGCTCTATTTCTGTAGTCAGTAATGAACATTCCTCTGTGTGTGTGTGTGTGTGTGTGTGTGTGTGTGTGTGTGTGTGTGTGTTTCCTGTTTCAGGATGGAGCTGTAGTTCCACCCTCCAGAGCTTTTGGTGACATGCTAACCGTCACTGAGACAGAAACTGATCCTGGAGATGGACTGGGCAAGACCGACTGGAGCAGTGGAGAGACATCTAGGCCCAGTAGCGACAGTGCAGATGTAAGCGTTAAGTGTTGTTAATTTTTGTCTTCTTGTGTTCTTCCTTTCAGCTCCCCCTTACTTTGTCCTCTTTTTCATGAGACAGGGTCTTGCTATGCCGTTCAGGCTGGTCTTAATCTCACTTTGCATTCCATCCTCCTGCCTCAGCCACCAGAGTGTTGGGTTTATAGTCCTATGCCGCCATGCCCAGCTTCAGCCCCTTTCTTGATTTGATTTTAAATTACATGAATTAGAGGTGTTGTCTTTTTACTTGCTTTTTATTATCCCAGTCTTTAGTACAGCAATTTGATAAACAAACTCTGGGTACTGTTGTATATGAGCTTTTAATTCCACAATTCACTTTTTTCCTCAAACATTTAGTGCCAAGTGTTTCTTTTGCAGAATGGAATTTCCCAGCTGCTGTCTTCTTTATGGGTTGAGAAGTTACTAATGCCAGTGCTTTTTTACTGAACCTAGAGGCCAACTGTTGATATCTTAAGAGCAAGTTAATATTCCATTTGTGGTCAGAGTGACTCAACCTTGAATCATGGGGCACTTTGCCATTACAAAGAGGAAAAGCTTTACTCTTGTTTGATAGACTTCAATTAATAGCTCCGGTTTAACAGAACTTTCTTATTAACCCAGAGACTACCTGATGAACATGAATATTTGTGTTTTGGTTTTTTTTAAACCAAATTGGTGGGACAGTTTCAATAATTAACACATTGCATACATTCTTCCTAGTGGTTAATTGCTGTACAAGATGCAGACTTGATATCCTATTTATAAACACCATTAGAACAAATCCCTCTATTCATTAAGAGCATGTAACTATATATCTTTCCTAACCACTTTGAATACACAGATACAAAATGGACATTCATCTGTATCCCCTTTTTTGTTAAG